TAACACTACTAATCTACTGATTATGAATTTAGTAAAACTATAAAACAATTAATTTATAGAAGATAAGCACTTAGATGCCAAAGAAACCTACTTTGAAATCAACCTTCTTTATGTCAACAGGGGACATAACCATAGATGTACTCTCTGTCAACTGTTTCCTGGTAAATTGTTTAGTGGAATGGTTGTATGCTAACATGGCCTCTGGAATGTGAGCTTCATATAGCCTTGTATTGTCATGAGGTTCAAATAGCAGGACTTGTTTCTGTCCACTAATCTAAAAATATATATTAAGATTGATATGTAGAAAAAACACATATCTTTATTTTTGAAGTTAGAATGCTTGTGATGGTAGAGGACATTACAATTTTAGCTTTTCCCTAAATAACTTGGTTTACAGATCCACTAACCTATAACCTGACAATACAAACAATGCTTGTTAGGAATATCTTAATTCTTTTCTATACATACTTAATTCTTTTCTATACATACTTTAATATTCCCAGTATTGTTCCATTCCCTTGATGGGAGATCTACACTACATAAATATATACATAAAAAAAAACTGTTGACTGATAGAACAGGCCTCATTTTGAAGAATATGAGTAACATGTGTCCATAGGACAGCACGCCTCATTGCCACTATTACATTTCCATGTTCAGTGAACTGTTAAATCAATAAACAGCTGCGCCACTAGAGCATGATATGCCCGTTGTGTTGTGTGTGAGGTTTTATGCAATAATCATAAATCATTTCTGAGATACGGCGCGACATGTGAAAACCCCCCTTTTTTTATAAAAAAATCAATAACTCAAAAATAAAATTTTGAATCATCACCAAAAAGTATACAGATCTTTAGATTAATATAATTAAGAAGTATGTAAAGTTTTAAACAATAATCATAAATGGTTTTTGAGATACGGCGCGATATGTGAAACCCCCCCTTTTTTTACAAAAAACTCAATAACTCTAAAATAAAATTTTGAATCATCACCAAAAATATACAGATCTTTAGATTAATATAACTTAGAAGTGGGTAAAGTTTTAAGCAATAATCATAAATAGTTTTTGAGATACGGCGCGACATGTGAAAAAAAACACCCCCCTGTTTTAGTTACAAAGTCCCGTAACTCAAAAAGTTTTAATCTTATTTTCACCAAAAAGTATACAGATAGTTTGATTATCATAAGAAACAACTATGTTAAGTTTCATGAAATTTGGATAAGTTGTTCTCAAGTTATGGTGCGACATGTGGATGCAGGACAGACGGACAGACAGACAGACGGACGCCGGACATTTGTATACCATAATACATCCTGTCAAAATTTTGACGGGCGTATAAAAACCATCAACCTAAACTTTTAACCTAATCAGGGGACTGCTCAATCTGGATTTACACTTGACATATATTTCATTAATAATAAGTTCACACCTTGATGAACTAGTGCTCTAAGTTTAATTTTCAATACCAACTTCATGGTAAACTACATTGTACCTTAAACCAAATATTTAACCTGATACTGGATGGACAGACAAAGGGATAGACTAATGGATAGTGGACAGACAAATGGATAGACTAATGGATAGTGCACAGACCGAAAAACATAAATGTCCCTATGGTTGTAGATGGGTCATGAAACTTTTTTTTCAACCAAATTCATCAAGTTCTTTATAAAAGTACATGAACTTTTTGTCATTTAATAATAATTCATCGTTAGTACCTAAACAAAAATTTGTTGTTGTCTGTCAGTTGGTTAACCTTTAATGTAGTCAAATGCAATTATTTTCTTCTCATGTAAAAGCTTTCTCCTTGTAGATGGGTCTAATTTCTACATATTTACCTGGCATAAAAAATTATCAAATGGATCAAAATGTAGTTTTCCTAATGTGTTCCCATCACTAAACCAAATATTTAATTGTTGTCTGTTTAACACATCAATAATAAATGGCATTTCCCTTATATCATCTTCTAGCTCTGGTAAATGATCAGGTATTGATGAATACTCTAAATATGCAGAGACATTTTTTACTACTCCCTCAGAAACATTTTCAATTAAATCAACCAGTTCAGAAAATTTCATATTAAGAGTGGCTGGACGGACAACAACCAAGTCAGAAAATTCAAGTTGTTTATGTACAGATTCTGGAATGGTGAACGTTTTATAGTTGTCCCACAGCTCTGAGGATTCAACTCCTTCAAATTCTCCTCCTGGCGTTAGTTTTATGTGAACATTATTACCTCCATATTCTTCACGCAAGAATTTATTTGACCATTTTGTCATAGCTGGCCATGATTCCATAGCTCCTTCAATAATAACTGGTCTTGATAATTTGAGGTAGTCATGAAAGAACTCATCTCTTGATGGAACTTTAATTCTGTCACATTTTGGTATCTCATAATGTTTTTGGTTGAAATCCTTCTGAAATGTTTTCTGATGATCATGATTATCATCACAAATTATGTTTTCTTTTCCAGTATTTGTATTTTTATCACATGATCCATCAAGAGTTTGCCATTTAAACACATAATTTGATGTCACATCTGAGATGCTTGATACCGAAAACAAGTTCTTCAGAATTTCTTCTCGATGAAGACCTTCATAAGACACACTACCTTTTGCTGTTCGGTACGTACCACAATAATTATTGATGAACTCTACTAATAAATTGATTGTCCTTGAACCTTTGTACACATTTACCTTTGGCTTCAAAGGTTTTATTGGAAGTAAACATGTTCTATCTACTTTTGATTTTGGAAATAAAACTACATCATTCACTGAAAGTTGTTCTCGTTTAATTGTTTGAAGCGTTTGATTATTTTGCCACCTGAATGATTTCAAATTAATATAACCTAATTGTACAAATGGTTCTGAATGAAAAGAAACCTCGGACAACGACCGCAATACGTGTCCCGTGTCCCCCGGGAGGAACACGTCATCACTATCAACAAGAACTGCCAGTAAGCAAGAATTTTCTAATAAGTTAATTATTTCTCTTGGATGAAATAGTTTAAGAGCTGAAGATATGTAAAGAAGAATTGTGAAAATGTATATGCAACTAGTTGTCATGCTCTATTCCTGTAAGTAATCCCAAAAGTTAAAAAAATTGCCGGTTTCTCATTTTGTTGACTGCCTGCAACAAGGAAGATAACTCTAAATTGTTATAACATCAAAATCGGCCAGGGAAAGTATCAGTGTGAATATCCGGGAAAACCATGCACCCAACAAACAACAAAAAACAAATTAAAATAACAAAAATATCGTATCCATAGCCTGTATGTAAAATAAGAACCATCAAAGTTTATATCGGGTTCTACAGCATGTACAGATTTTGTATTGCAAAAAGTACAAAATCTGTCATTTAGTGGTAGTACATGTATCTGCAACGTTCCTTTACTGAATAATGTCATTATGATTGTACGTCTGACAGTTCTTTGAAGCTGGCATGTGATGTGGTATTCGGTTATATACCTTTGTCTATTGTAAGCAGTACGTTCGTAATTTATTGCCATTCGCATTGTTTCTAGCGAAAATGATTGTTCAAATCTGGTAAAAACTGGTTTTGGCTTTAAAGCCGTTGAAATATCTATGCTATTACAATTGCGACGAACACACTGTAACTTAGACCAAATCAGCCATGAACCCATGAATTATCAAAGCTATCATTTATTGTATATACTTTAATTTTCTTATTTACTACTTTTTTGTTTTATTTTTCAATTCTTGTTTTTTTCAATTCTTGTGTTTTTTTTAGTAGTTCAGTCAATAGCTGCTTAACAAACGAAAACAACACGTTATAAATTTCATGCGTACGAAGCACATTTCTGGATTAACTTCATTAGAAACGCTCAAAACCGAATATTTGAAAGCCAAGGATGTATAAGAACCGAAACAGTAGAAGGTTCTCAATGATGCACATATTCTCATTCATCATTAACAAGATGAATTCGTTTTCATCATTCAAACGTATAAATCTTTATACTAAGTATTTGGATTTAAATTTATCAATATAGATTACGTTTTCCTTTATATCTTTGGTTTGAACCTCATTTTCTATAGCATTGTGGCATATCTTAAAAAAACGTTTGATTATTTTTCGTATTTTCATGATATTTTGTATCATGCTAATAGGTATCATTATTTCTGTATCATGCATTGCATGGATCTTACGTTGTTATTTTCGCACTGAAAGGACAGCATCGGGATTCCGTCCAACTGTTAGATGACACCTCTTTAGTCACCAACCGTCTTAAAGCATGTCATCTTATCCTCTAGTTGCTTCTAGTCTCCGAAAGTCTTTGCAAGAAAAAAAACCAACAAATCTTTGTGTCGACGAATGCATGAAGCGCCGGGTTGTATGATTTTTAGTTATTGATTTGTCTGGTTTTTTTTTCTGTTTTTTGTTTTTTTGTTTTGTTTTTATACATTATTGAATATGATAAAATTTCAAATACCCTTTGCTTTCATTTGTCTATTGTTATTCCTGACTTGTTTGCTTTAATTATTCAGTATTACGGTCAACGCTAGGCCCCAACCACTTTGTAAAACATCTCGAGGTGTTGCAGCTTCCACCAAGGCTCAATTGTAGGGATCGGGGGAGGGGGGAGTGGGGTTGGGATGTTCAATGATTCTCATCACGCAAATTGATTGTTTTCGGTTTCGCCTTTAACTTTAGTGGTGAACTGCTCTGTTTGATAATATATCAATATGACCATACACAGATGTGCCAGGTTTTGTTTGCACTCAGTTTCGCATTTAAACCTCTAGTGTACAACTCGACCCCCGTTGGATACTTCAGGGGTACATTGTAAGATACATGTTTTCTCAGTTATGAATTCGATCGCTCCGCTCCAAATACCTCCCTTTTATTCTCGGAAAATATTTTTTTAGATCGACGAAGATTATACTGAGTTCTTCCCTTTAATCACCCCTTACTCCTTTAAATTAATTTGATCTGAACATCTGATTCATATATTCTTTTATTTTTCTTCCCAATTACACATAGCATACATCAAATCGTGACTCCAGGTTTTTAATGCATTTTCTGAAATTTTTTTCAGGAAAAAAAATATATTTGTAAGACACTTCAACACTAATTTCAAGAAAAATGTTAGGGAATTAACCGATGATCAATAGACGGCAATAAAATAAATGTACACATGCATCTATATATAAATCTACAATTAAAAAAAATATCAAACGTGACTTCATCTGTATTTTTATTGCTAATCTGTCTCCAGTGAACAAAGGTTTGTGGCACAAATTAAAGATAGATGTGATTCGTGTCGGAAAATACTGAAAAAGTCCATTTTATCTTGAAACCACTAAATTCAAAATGTATTAAAATGTAAAGTTTTTTACGGAAAGGTCAAAGTTTTATGTGTTAATGAAAAGCATGTGTACAAGGATCGGTATAGGTTTCCTAGATTGACTAGCATACAATACCTCTATTAAATTCTAAGTTAAAAAAAGAAAAAGTAAAACCGTCACAGTGAACCGTCACAGACATATTTAATGTCGAGTCTGCTGCAGCATATCCAAAGAATTTAGAAAACTGAAGCCTTACCGAACCCTCTACTTCCATATAATGATCAATATATTTTACACATGTCATTCATAGTGAAAGTAAATTAACCTGGGGCAAAAATTACCTTTTCTACTTGATATATATGACGTAAAAATGATGTTTTTGTGCAATGATTGAAAGTTATCTTATAGGTTATAACACGGAAACCGTACATAAATAAATAATCTGCGAGATACACAAACTGGGCTTTACATTCCTGGGACCGACGGCAACATTACATCACAATGCTGAATTTAGTTTGTACCATCCTTTTGATAGTACCACAAATACTGAAAGGTAAGTTGAACAATACACTACAGTGATAAAGCTGAAAATAGAAATTATTTGTCTTATTCAAAATGAATTACTGTAAATTCAGAAATTATTGCGAGGTTTTTATTAATGCGACTAATGCGAGTAAGTGAGTATTGCAATAATTAGAACACGCGATCTGATATCTGCTACATATATCTGTATTCAGTTTTTCTTGAAATCGCAATAATAAATGCACGCAATAATTTCTGGATTTACAGTACGCCGTTTTAAATATATATATATGTATTTATAACCTTTCTGCTAAATCAGCCGACAAGAAAAGTTGATATGTAACACACTTCCCTAATGAAAGACCAACGCTCTAAACATTGCTTGATTTTATAATTAAATCAGAAGATAATTTTAGAGTTTTTAATACTGCTTTTCCCTTTTAAGCTTTAGATGTAAGCTACGTGAAATTCAGAGAGACATGCCGCCTTTCCTTGTGCTTGCAAGATAGTAAATTTTGAACAACTCTTTGTGAAGTGACTTATTAAATTGAAGAAATTTTGATCTTACTTATTTCTTTAATTTTACTAATTAAACTATGTGTGCAGTCATTTTTTTTTAAATATGGTAAAGCCTTGCCGACAGCTTAACATGTCGATTACGAATGAGCACTTCTCTTTTTACGCCAAATTTTTCCATGAAATATATTTTATAGTAAATATTGAAATAGTTCAAGAAGGAAAAACTATTCATTGTCGCGGTTGTAAGCATGAGGAATTATCACCCCCTGTTTATGTTTCACTCGCACAGTCAATATTGGAAAGGTGATGCTTACTAAAGTGCCAAAATGCACACTCAAAAGCGTTATCAACAATTTAAATATTACATTTGTATTCATAAAATCAAAATTTTATTCCGACAATATAAGTCATAGGAATGTTCTTGGTCCTAAACGCACGGATCATTGCTGTTAAAGATCATGTTTTTGTAACACTCTTCGAACGACTCCTGCATACAAAGTGTGTTCATTTGTATCTGAAAAACAAAACAAAACTTCACTTCGATAGAATAGTGGATGTAACTTTTCAGATTTATACCTAGAATTAGACAAAATCTATTGAAATTATAGATTTTAGTCACCTTTAAGCAGTTTTATAGGTTTATGACATACTATTGACAGAACCTCAAAGTATGCAAATGAAAGTGTAAAGATTCAAAGACGTTTTGAAATGCATCATACTGGACACAGACTTACGGAAAAATTGTATATACCATTTTTAACTTGAATACTCGACAAAAAGAAATAGGATGGGATAAAAACGCGCTTGGTAACAAAGTGTCATATGACAATTCATTCAGAGTAGGTACAAGATTACACACGAGGCTTGTGGGACGCCACAGTGACATTAAAACAATACTTTAGTATACATATCATAACATCTATATTTATCATCTTGTTTTGTTATACCACTTACTTATAGACAGTTATTGTGTTATGAATGCAATAAATTATATTAAGAACCATTAATATTATAATTTAACACATGGGAGCTGATGTTAACGTTGTTCATTGTTTTAAATGTATTAATAACAAATTACTAAAACAGTACAACTCGACGTACTGTATTTGTAGGGCATGTTACTGTGTACTTTAACCCATTTTAAGAAAATTAATTTTATTCTAAAGTTGGAAAAACTACAAACGTAATTTATTCTCTCATATGTTCAAATTGTGAAGAATTCTGTATTGGACAGACCAAAATGAAGTGCGGACTAGAATGACTGTTCATAGGCAGTACACCAACCATGAAGATTTAACAATCATTCGGACTAACGAACATTTCCATCTTTGTTATAATGGACAAATTAAAATATTCCTATTCTATATGGTCAATGTCAATTGTAAAAAAGATGTTTATCGGAAGAAGAAAAAAGAATTATTCATAAACGTTCTCAACCCGGGATTAAATGATAAATGATATTTTAATTTCTTAAATACCATTTTCGTTTCCTATAAAGTGTTTACCCAAATTTCAGAATTACATTAGTAGTATATATTATGTGGAAATTATGATGTATATGATATTGGATTTGAGCTGCATGTCGTATTTTAATTTGATTGTGATAAAATACATGATGCAGTCTGTCTTGGGGCAATCTTTTAATTGACCACAAGGGACCAAAGTAAAATGTGTAGGAAGATACTATTGAAAAAACTGAATTCTTTCTATAAATTCAAAACGTGTTTCGCTCAGAAAGTCTTTAGGGTAGATTTAGGTTTCCAAGTATGCTTTCAGTGCAAAACTCTTTGAAAAACAGTCAATCTTTTACCTATAAATACAATAAATATTGTCAAGAACTTTGTCTGCTTTGGACATGCAATCTTGTCGCAATTTGAATGTGTAAACTTTAGATGAGAGCCGAAAAACAACACTTTGTAAGATCTACAGCCCTGTTCAGAAACTTCATTCTGGAATCACGGATTATACTCTAGAACTATAATTTGCAGCAGGTTATTTCCCTTGTCAAGCAGTAGACCTGCTTCTCGGCAATTAAGCTGAAGAAGAGTCAGTGATAAGCGGATTTTAATCCCTTTTGATTTAAATATAATATTTGGTTTATGTAAATGAAGAAATTATTAATGGTCTTTTGCCTTTCAGCATACTTTAAATCAAAATCTATTTGTATAGCTGGAAATCTTTGTAAATTAATGTTCCACATAATTATATATCTACTTCTCAAAATTGCTCTGCACTGCAGCGAACCAGTATTTATACCAGTATACTTCCTAACAAGGGAAATAATAATAACCCATTTGTAATTTAAAAATCAGATTCGGGCTTTTGGAAGTAAGTTTCAAGAAAGTCTTATAATCGTATGTTGATATGTGGTTATGTTTTACAGAATTATAAATTTTATATTTTAGGTCAACAAAACATCAAAGATGGAAAGATAACCGGTTCATCACAGATAACATGCCCAGAAATATCTTGCGAACTTCATCACTTTCCACAAGAACACTGCAAAGTCCAGACATTCATTATGTACCATGGTGTTAAGTGCCAGAGTTGTGTAGAGGATATTTGTCATGGATCACAAGTGGTGGCTGATTCACTGATTGGAGATGTTACTCAAGTGCAAAACCTCAACACAGTAGACAACACAAATGCCGTTACAGGAAACCTTAAAAAGAAATGGAATAAAGTCAGTTATATCAATAGATTAGGTTCTATATTTGGAAACAATCCTAATGTTGGAAATCTGAGAAATCCTTTGGAGCCAGAGAATGGAAGGACAGGAAATAACCAACAAATGCAAGAGCATGGCTTGGTGACTGTTAATTCAAAAGGTATATGTTTTAAAAGACTAATACACTGCTGTATTGCAATTATGAAGTAATTTATAAAACCTTCCTGTATTTCCATTTGAAGCCTTTTTCTAAGTAAATTATCGAACTATAAATGCAACGGAAACATTCTCATTGGTAATAATAACTATAAGGTATAATTATGTTTAATATTATGCTTAGTAGATACGTACGATCGACCCATTGTCTGTTCTGATGTTAATCTTTTATAATATACTTTTTATTCGTTTCTTATTTAATTGCAGGTATGGACAGGTTACAACCAAAGTCACAAATTAAATGTCCGGAAATAGAATGTCATCATCACCACCAGCCAAAAGCTCACTGCATGGTTGATTCGTACTTTATATACCATGGTGAAAAGTGTAAGGGATGTATCGAGGATATATGCCTCGGTTCACATATTGTGGATGAGATCTTGATAGGTAAAAATAAAAGTCAAGATTCATCAAACCCCGAAACACTTTCTCTTAAAAATCAAGGAGTTGGAGAGAGAATGACATCTGGAGATTGGAGATCAGGAAATGCTCAGCCTCCATTGATAGAGAGACGCAGCCATGACAGTAATGGACAAATAAATCAAGAACCACTTCATCCTAACCATCACCAAGAACCTACTGAGAGATTACTGTCTGGTAATTGGAGATCAAGACACTCTCAGCCTCCATTGTCTGAGAGACACATTCAGTTTCGAAATGGACAAATAAATCACGAACACACTCTTCCCAACCAACATCAGGGAGCTGGAGACAGAATATTGTCCGGTCATTGGAGATCAAGAAACCCTCAGCCTCTATCGACAGAGATAGGTCTTCAAAACAGTAATGGGCAATTAAATTTGTCTAGAAATCCATTTTTCAGCAGAGGAGAACATAACTTTAGAAATAAACTCCTTGGTGTACAAACAAATAAACATATCAATTCAAAACATGACTCAGGCAGAAATTCGAATCCTAACTCATCTACAAATATTTCAGCAAGTTTACCAAACGGACAAAATACAAAAAATAATGAAGAAAGCATAGTTGTTGTAGACCAAAAACAATCGTCTTTTACCAGAAAAGATCGGGGGATAGGGAGATTCAGAGGCAAGGGAAGATCATATCTACAAAGCTTGTTTCACCCGGCATTCACTGGTTAATATTTATAATGCTCATTATGTAGTTCCATTTCTACTTTAAGTAGAAGTGTAACTATTATATTTAGATCGCTGAAAATCCAACTCATAGTCATGTATTTCGCAGATTTAATAATTATGATGTATATGTAAACATTTATTAATCAACTACTTAAAAAAGTATTTAAAAAAAGCAAATTTTGTAAATTGAAATGAATCATACTATTTATATCATAGTGTAGATGTTTCCAAAATGAGGTTAAGACCTTTTTTGACAATTAAACAAAAATTATATGTTAAGCACTTGAACAAATTAAACGAGCACGTGAATTTTGGAAAAGACTGAATTAGGAGGACAGAATCTAAAAAGGACAACTACGACGAATGAAGGCATGCAACGCATGCAATACATCCGTTTCATAAAATTTTAATATCCAATTAGATAAAAATAGAATTAACATTTTTATTTAAAGTTTGTTGGGGAGTTGAATGTTATCCATATCAAAGCAAACCTTGTCTTTTTGACATGGATAGGGTTCTTTCAAAATTAATTTCAGGTAACCGATATTTTGTATGTTTAATCTATATGTTCACTTTAATGTCTTTCGGTCTTAGGTTCAAAGTGGTCTTTTTAATGATATTTTCCAAATCTTCATATTAATTGTAGGTATCTTCCAATTTTTGAACACATGTCGGTAACGCTTACCTTGTAGGAACAGAACAGGTTGAAATTTTGATACTTGTGTAATATTCAGGTTTTAAATATTAGAAATTCTTGCAGGCATTTAATAATTTGCTTCTTGCTTCCCATATTCTCGAAATTTGATGTAATTTTTGGTCAATGATAAGAGTTGAACCCTAGCTTTTTTTATTCATTTTTAGAGTTCAAAGTGAAGGAAATAATAACATTATGCCAAACTAGTTCGTTCAGATTATTAATAGTCACCAGAGAAGTATGTGCTCAACGTGCCGGATAATTTATATAGCTTTTGTTTGTTCTGCACGTGTGCTTCCCAACTGGTAAACTTATTATTGATTTTGTTTGGTTTGAGCATTACCAAAATTAAGGTTCGTTTTTAGTATTGTCCGAGTTTTGTAGTTACAATTAATTGCAAGTTAGGTATAGTTTTCTGTGACTTGTATTGCTGTAATTTTGAGACACCCTTATTATATTTGTGCGGGACAGTTGCTTCAATACTCTTCATGTCAATATGTCGATCCAATGCATTTGATTAAGACTGTCTGCTGTTGAAATCAGGAGGGTATGGAGCAGTCTGATAACTATATTTAACTCAATTAGTCTATTTGTTATAAAAGATATTATCACTATTCCTATTACCACACTAAAACATCAACAAGAGACACAAAATGAGTTCGAAACTCTGGCCACAATAGCATTGTTTGATCCATTTTACAATTAAAGCAAGTTAGCTGGAGACGACTTATTGTTTGAAAAGCCAAGCACATTTCAAACATACGTAAATGCTGGTGCACGGTAGTATATCTATACCAGCTGACATGAAAAACATGTTATATAATGTTAACCGCATAATCCTTTACAGGTACTTAATATTCTACTTGGTTATTGCAACAACATATTGTGCAGCAATCTTACGAGGAGTTGATACAATACATATGTTAAGACATGTGATTCATACCAGTCATTTGTTTACTTAAAAATAAAATAATTCCTTATCATCGGGCATGTCTTGACTGCAACTACTTCCGATTAGAATGTAAATCAAAAGTCGGCATCGGTATCTTACTATTTTTGTAACAAAGATGTTGTACATTTAACAAAAAAGGAATTAACCAGTTTTGTTAAATATGAATGATACCTAAGACAATATATTGTTCGTGTTTACAGAGAATTGTTTCCTGAGAACACTGAAAATTTCCGCTAATTACGGTATTCTATTAACAATTTTGGCAGAAGATTTTACTTGAAAGATGACCGATTATCTTGAGAACTAGTAAAAAGGCAGAGCGTAGTATTTCATATATGTTTTGCGTTTATATGCAAAAAATACACACACTGTAAATGTGCATTTAGGATAATATACTTTTGAAGAAATTTGGCCATGCAAATCTACACTCAGTGTAAAGTTGCATTCATATGCATTTGTGTTTAAAAGCACATTTTACATCTAAAGGCATTTATGCATGCACATATACATGTATGTTAGCATACATGGGCATATGTGTGCATGTGAACGAGTATTTAATAATTAGTGTCTATATTTTTTGCGTTAACTATTATTATGGTTTGTGTCTCATTGCTTTTAATCAAACACCTCCATTTCAGTAATATTTTATCAAATGTTTCGGTTCTTATACATCATTGGCTTTCAAATATTCGGCTTTTAGCGTTCCTGCTGAAGGTAAATCCAGAAAAGCGTTTCGGACGCATACAATTTATAACGTGTTGTTTCATTTTTTAACAAAGATTGCATGAATGTCAGCTAAATACTGAATTCTGTAATTGGACTTTTGACAAGTCACCACGAACTGAGAACTTGAACCAAATCCTTCATATTTCTTAATTTTTTCATTCTTCATAAGTTATTCATAATTTTACATAATATCGGGTTTCTCATTGTAATAAATTAGTACGTTATTAGAATTCAGAATTTGCACTAGCAATATGATGCATTTTGCTGTGCCTTTTTATACTCACTAAGGTTTTCAACCAATAACATGAACGATATAATATTGCAACTGGATCAGGTGTGACGTAACTATCTATCTACATATTTTGTTCTTGAGATCATATTGTAACGCATGTTCACAGCAAGCTTGATTACATATCACATGAAGCTCTTATTTGTAGTTTCCTGTAAAAAAGTTACGAATATTGTTTACATGGCCATTATATGTGTTTGAATATATCAGTATTCGGTAAACATGAATTTAAGAATTGATAAATTAGAAAACGCACCACAAGGTAAAACATGTTCACACGCATATATGAAGCCAGATAACAAATTCAGGAAGCTCTGATTTATTATTTCTGAGAAAAATGCTACGGAATTTTCATGCATGGCCATTATGTGTTAGAATATATAAGTATTCGGTAAACAGGAAGTTGAAGATCAATTAAGGTGAAACCGCTTTACAATGTAAAGCATGTTTACATGAAGCCTGATAAAAAAATTCAGAAAACTCTGATCTCTAGTTCCTGTCAAAAACTGGACGGAAATTGCATATACGGCAATTCTATGTTAGAAAATATATTCGGTAAATAGGAAGTTGAGGATCGATGAATCACACGGTTAAGGATGTTCACACGAAGTCTGATAACAATTGTCAAGAAGCTCTGATCTGTAAATCATGAGAAAAGTGCGACCGATATTTCATGGGATGGACGGATATACAAACGGACAGGCTTATGAACGGACAGAAAGGGATGAAATAGTATACTTGTAATCTCCTCCTTCGTAGCGAGGGTATAATAAAAAGATGTAGAACATTCCGTTAAAAAGGAATCAACCAGTATTTCGAAATTATGCAATACTGTCGCAGTTAATTTAGCTCAATTTTATTTTTAGAAGTTATCAGTGAAATGCGGTATTATATGTAAAATATTTGCTTAAGATTGGGAACATGCCCATTGAAGAGAAAAAACAAGTTTGAATTCTTCTAATCATGCTAAATCATCTGTAAAAATGTTCTATTCAAATCCTTTGTATGCGTACAACGATACAGTCATAGATGTTGTTGACTGTCGTTGAATGATATTCCAGAGTAAACGCAAATCTGAACTATAATAAACGTTTTCCAAGATCAAACACAGTCGGAAATAAGATTTTGGATATTCTAAAGTAAAATTATGTTTTAACATGTATTTGTAACAAAACAGGATAAACACGTGTTTGGTTACAGAGCATCGTATAACGATCCATTTATGAAACTTAACAAAGATACCAGGCTAATAATTTGGTACGCAAGGCGCGCGTTTCATCTTCAAAAGACTCATCAGATTGAGGCGCTCGAATCAAAGTAACTATTACATAATAGTCTTGTGAGACGCCATAGTGACACTCAAATAATTGACAAAAGTAGTTATCATCTTGTTTTGTTACATCACCTTATTGTAAACAGTTATTAGTGTATTTAAACTACAAAAATGAAATTCGTATAGATACCTCTAAAAGTATTTATAACTTTTGCAAAACTTTTATTGTTCTGTTGTTGCCTTATTGTTTTTCATCGAACATCTTCTTTTAAACAAAATTTCGTTAACACAGATAGCAAAGATGTCAACTAAACACTAAATTCAAACTTTTTAAAAATCTCCCTGAACTGAGAACTTAAAGCAAATACTTCGTAGTTCTTATTTTTATCAAACTTCATAAGTTGAAAATACTTCATAATTTTACATAAAATCGCGTTTTCCATCGTAAAACAAAACAGTAGAAGGAAATTAGAATTCAGAATTTGCACTAGCAGTTTGATGCATTGTGTTGTGCTTGTTATACTGACTAAAGTTTGCAAACAATTACATGAAGATTTATAATGCATCTGGATGAGATGTGATGTCACTATCTACTAGTATCTATATATGTATTTTGGAGAATATGATGCATACTAGATTTTAATTGTTCGTTTTATTCTTACTTGATTTTGATAAACAAAGATATGCTGCATACTGTTTTGAGGCAATCTAGAAAATTACCACAAGGGACTTTAATGTTGGGTGCAAAACCAAAGTCGTATTATCAATTTTATACATACAAGTACATCTGTTTAGATAATGTAATAGTTTGAAAGATATTTAATGCAATTATTGGTACACCTAGTAATATGATTTTATTCATATGGAAAACTTTGGTATCCAATAAACGAATAAGAGGTCCTCATAATCGCATCTGACGAAAATATTACATAATTTCCGTAGAATAGTCTTTAGGGTATACTATCAACGTGTTTTCCTGAGAAAGTCTATAGGGTGGATTAAGGATTTCAAAATATGCTTTTAAGTGTAGAAACCTTTTATAGAACAGCCAATCCATTACATATAAATATGATACGCATTGTCAAGAACCTTGTCTGCTTTCAAGATAAACTCTAGGAAAGTGATATGTTAACTTGTGATGAGCGCCGAAAATACATACACTTTGTCACATATTATTTTGATATGTGTGCATATATGTTATAAAATAACTATATTTCAGGTCATCAAATCATCAAAGATGGAAAAAGAATAGGTTCATTACAAATTACATGTCCAGAAATATCTTGCGAACTTCATCACTTTCCACAAGAACACTGCAAAATACAGACATTCTTTATGTACCATGGTGTAACGTGCCAGAGTTGTGTAGAAGACATTTGTCATGGATCACAATTGGTGCCTGATTCCCTGATTGGAGATGCTTTCCAAGTGCAAAACATCCACAAAGTAGACAATTTTAATGCAGACACTCCAAAACATAAACAGAAATTGAATATAGTCAATTATATCAATAAATTGTCTTTATTTGGAATCAGTCATAATG